CCTGAATATGGAAACAATCCTTTATTCAGTGTTTTACAAATCCTCGCAACCACATCTCGTCCTTAATCCGGACTTTTCGTTCCAGTTCCAAGCAACTCTTGGCGTGTGTATTACGCAACAGTACGTACCGTGTTGTTCTATGGCTGCGAGACCTGGCCCCCGAGCGGATCACGTCCGCCGACTATCCGTATTCGACAACCGTTGTCTGCGCAATATCGCCCGCGTATGGTGGGAGCATCGCATGAATATCGATGAAGTCAGACGACGTTTACTAGGATCAGATAGTCTTTGAGCAAAATAATTTCACAGCATCGTCTTAGGGCACGTCTTACGAATGCCTGGACAACGTTTGCCACACCGTGTACTACTCGCAGACATCGGTTCAGGCTGGAAGAAACAGCGAGGTGGACAGGTTACGATGTGGCGCAGAGGGTTAAAGAGACTGTGCTCGGATCTGGCTTCCGTTGGGGTTTCTCGGCTCCCCGGCTGGGGTCCCAAAGATTCAGGTAGTCTTTCGCTGGAGACACTGCGGGATATGGCATTGTACCGAAGTCAGTGGTGCGAATGCATCTTCTCCTGTGCACCAAAATAAACAAAAACTCAAAACTGCGTGCAGTATACAAACAAGAACTTTGTCATTCCCACTAGTGGACTGTTTTGTTTTCCCCGCTTCTGTCCCCATATTTTTCGTTAACCCGTGGGTTTTTTGGCGCCGGACCTATAAAGACAGCAAAAAAAATGCCGAATGACTTACATTTTTGTTGTGTTGCGTGATATGAATGCTTGTTCTACAGCACTTTATTCGGTCAGTTGCTTTCAACTAGCCAATGCAATGACTTATCACATTGATGTAAATTAATGATTATGTATTGTGTATAACTTTTGCACTGGAGCTCACATTTCAGTTAAAAAATCATACACTCACAATCATAGGTCACAATGTACATAATCAACGAGGAGAAAAGTTTTTACAGGCATGGAGAGATTTCATAAACCAAAGTAAAGACAAAGTTCACTTATTGTCCGCTCTTTGTTTATGAGCAGACGAGCAAGAGACGGTATGGGTGAATTGCGGTATGTGTTAATTCGAGATGAAATTTGGCGGAAGTGCGAGCGTGTTGAATGATGGGAACAACACGGTGTCAGCATCTGTAAGAATCCTCTCAGCAAATTTCACACACGATGTTACGTAATACTCTGAAAGCTTTACAGCTAACTCCTTCACGAGAATAGAGGAAACGTGCTTAATAATAGGTAGACCGCGGCTTATGTCTTTGAAATCCTGTTTGAATAAACCGGGAAAAATAACCGGGGAACAGTAGAGTAAGATGGAGAAAATACATTGATAAACAAAAGTTGAAATAACTGACTGAGATGCGCGAAACTGCGTAAGCTTTCGTATTTGAAATGAAAGGCGCCGCAGTTTACCAATGAAGTTGTGGATGTGGGTTGACCAACTAAGATTGCTATCTATGGTTACACCAAGATACTTGACAGAGTTCACCCTAGATAAAGGACTGTTAGTAGTCACTGTGTGGTCTGTAGGATATAGGAAGCGAGCAAAGCTATAGAAACAGATTGTTATTAAGCACTGTGGGGTCTGTCGGATATGGAGAGCGAGCAAAACTATATAAACAAGAACACATTTACTGGGGTTCAGGGTTAGCCCCGATGAGGAGGAGAATGACTGAATTTGATCAAGATTGTCAATGAAAGAGGTTAGATCAGAGTAAGAAGAAATGGGTTGACACAACACTACATCATCTGCATATTTCAAAATTCGTGCGGGAGGAACACAGGGAGTATGACAAATATAAGTGGAAATTAATTATGGGATGGCACAGTTCCTTGAAGGACCCCGGAGTTGTTGACTAAGGGTTTCGATGTGGCCTTCCCCAATCTAGTGGTTTGAACTCCGTCGGTAAAATAGTTGGATAACCAAGCTAACAACTGCTTGGAGCATTCAAA